AACTGGCTGGGATCAAGCTAGGGAGCGCGAAGAAGGGAAAAGAATGCGACGTCTGATTAAAGCTATTGTGACTGGGAAAAGTCTAGAAGGCACCAAGTCGTCACAAATTCGGCGGCAGTCATCCGCAGCTAACCTCATCACGAGACCCAGTACAGAGAGCAGTCTGGATAACTTTTCTTATCATGGCCGTGGAAACGGAGCTTCCATATCTACACCAAACACAGCCAATGACGATGATAATAGTCCCGGAAAACAAATTTCTACAAGTTCTGGACAAATCGTAGGAACGAGAAGGCATTCAGGAAGAAGTACTACTATGCCCATTTTAAGCAATATCAATACCGCAGAAGAGAGCGATTTTAATAATAGCCGGAGTTCTCATCGCAATGTTTTAAAAAATATTGATAGTGATGGCGCCCGGCGTCATAGTCCAAGCGCCAGTAATGAACTCAACGAAGGAAGTTTCAAGCCGCAACCTCTGCGCCTGGATGGGAGTCCGAAGAGCGGTAGTCCTGCTGGGACATTCGCAACGCTTCACACACCAGTAGGGCAAAATCTATCAGCTTCGCCTCGTAGTGCTGTTTTTGGCCATCGATCAAGCAATAGCACCGATTCCATATCTTCTAGCCAGGCAATTTACGGATCTGGAGTGCCACCAGGTGCTAGCCAAGCACTCAGAGGTGGAATGGGAGGGGCTGTAGGCGAGGTCAGCCTTGTAAGAAACCAAGAAACTCGAAGACATGGCGTTGACGTATCACGTCCTTCTCCCTTGGATGGCGAGCGTTCCGCAAGCTCTGAACAACCCACATCCGCAAAAGAATCGAGAGGATTTCTTAGTCACTTCAAAGGGAAAAAGCGACGAGGAAAAGAAGATGGCCTAGCCCCATCGCCCGAAGATCAGAATCTTGATTCTCCTACTAGCCCATCTCTTGGCTTTAAAGCTGCATCTTTTTTGGGCAATGGCAGGATTAGCAACTCTAGCGAAACTTCGTTGGACCGACCTTTGTCCACATTCTCCGCCTCAGAATATGATAAATTCGCTCATGGAAAGGGATATCGCGGCGTGCGAGCTACGGGGAGGAATTTTGTCTTGGCTACTACAGACGGGTGGAACTTTCGTCTGTGTGATGTCACTGAAATTGATAATGCGCAAGATCTTAAGGCTACGATATGTTCTAATTTAGGCGTTCTTGACTCAGAATTTACCCATTTTTATCTTACAGAGCTAGGTAAGATGGAGCACGAAGAAGCATTAGATGATAATAAGCTTCTCTTTTGCAAAAGGCACAAAGCCGATCAGTCTGGTAATCTCAAATTTTTTATTAGAGGAGCAACAAGCTCGGCAATATCACTGCCTGCCTCGCAATCTGCAGGTCATGGCATGAACTTTACGACGAAATTGAGTGGACTTTCTCCCATTTTGCCCCCAACTGCGCCTCTCGATGAAGAGGCTTATGCTCTTCTAAATGGAAGCAGAAGACGATCCAGCTCATCACCACCCACATCACGCCAAAATACGATCAAGGGGGGTACTGCACCCCACAAAGATAAGCCTGCACCTACAACTGAAACACCAGACGCACTGCGTGAGCGCCTAATGGCGTACAGAGCATCACACTTAGGGGAGAGAGAAATACCAGAAGCGGATAAACAAGCGTTTATAGCAATGGCATCAGCAGAACATAAAGCTGAGATGGACCGAAGGCAAAAAGAATATCTGGCGAAAAAGAAAGCAAACAAAGGTACACCAACCTCCGCAGATGGTGCTTTGGGGATTGTTGGTCGCAATGTTGATTTCGATCAACCGAGACTCTCGCCTTTTGAAGATAAGAAGCCGGATAATCTCTTCCCGCAAAGAAAAGCCCCACCAATCCCTGGAGAGTCGGCTACTCTGATCAAAGCCAACTCCTTGAGTAAAAATTCTGGCAGCCAAGCTCGTCTATCATATGAAAGCGTTGAAAGCGAAGGTAAACGTTTATCTGGAGGCGACTCAGGTGAAGGTTCTAGCACTAAACGGAAGCCAGTTCCGGCCTCACCTGTCAATCCAGGAGGCATTGGTGCTGCTCTGTTCGTTATGGGCAAAGGGTTTTCATCAATAGGACACCCAACAAGTACCGTGTCACCGGTTAAGAAATCGCCTCCGATCAATACGTCTGAGAATTATGGCAAAAATGCCATGTCGACAGTTGATCACGGAAACCCCGGATCTGGCAGAAGCAGTCCCAAATCGAGTGGTACTCCAGGCAGTGTTACTTGGGGCAGGGGTGATACATCATTCATCATCCCCGATTATGCTGGTGAAGAAGAAAGCTTATCGGCGAGCATCGCTACGTCTTTGAACGATTCCAGTAACGCTGCGATAGCCAGAATGAAGGAGGAAGAAATCCGAAGAGCGCCTTCCCCCCGTGCCATTAGTCCGAATAGCGCTCATACGTCAGACCTTACCACGCCTGGAAATAGAAAATCTTACGGTCCTAACCTTGATTTCACCGAAGCAAGCGTGGTGTTCGACAAACCCCCCCAGCAAGTAGAGCAAGAAGATTCCGACTCGGACTCCGATTCCGGTCTATTCAGTATACCAATACAAAAGACGCAGAAAGCTAAGGAGGGCGCTAGTGGAGATGACTCTTCTGGCATCTCCAAGCGACCAAGTTTGACTGTCAAAATCTCAAGGGCCAAAAAGGGCCTTTCCGTGTCGTGGGGCTCACCTCAACAGGAAAGCTCATCCTCATCCAGCCTTCCAAAACTCCCTGATTTTGACAATCAGCGTAGAGATGAAAACGAGCGGACCATTGAAGAAACCGAAGAAGAGAAACAAGCAAAAGTACTCCGGAGACGATCTTTTGCTCGGACCGATACCTGGGCTCCTAGACCTCCCGAAGAGAACATTCTCCTCAATCTAGAAGACTTCTTTCCCAATCTTAATGTAGATGAGCCAGTAATGGACGAAGGTGTTGGTGGGTCCCCGCCAGTTTCTCCTATTGCAGAACAAGATACAGTGGAGTCGGCTACAACTACGACTCCTTCCATGTCTTCGCTATCAGTTGCCGGATCTTCTATGCTTTCTACGCCTAGAACGAGCATGTATGGTGACGGAGACACGCTCGGATCAGACGAATCGACCCTAAAAGCACTCGAAAGACCGGGCTCTATGCAGAGTGTCGCGCAACGCAATATTCGTCGCTCTGGCGGCTTGGGCCGAATGAAGTCGATTCGTGAAGTGGCTAGAGGAGCCCACGAAGCAAATAAGCGTTATACTTCAGCAACTGTTGCTCCACAGAAGGGTGACAAGACTTCAAGCATGATCCAGCGTCGGAAAAGTACCAAGATGTTTGGTGCTAATATTGTTCAAATCAAACCTCAGCGTGGTAGCCTACTGATCCCTCAAATCCCACAAGACACAATACCTAAACGACAAGCCACCTTCAGGTGGTTTAAAGGTCAGCTAATTGGGAAGGGTACTTACGGGCGTGTTTACCTGGGGATGAATGCCACGACTGGAGAGTTTTTGGCAGTGAAACAGGTTGAAGTCAACTCTAAAGCGGCTGGAAATGACAAAGAAAAAATCCGTGAGATGGTAGCAGCACTAGACCAAGAGATTGATACCATGCAGCATCTTGATCATGCGAATATTGTGCAATATCTCGGTTGTGAAAGAGGCGAGATGTCTATCAGTATCTTTTTGGAATATATTTCTGGTGGTAGTGTAGGAGGTTGTCTTCGAAAGCATGGCAGATTTGAAGAGACGGTCGTCAGCTCCCTAACCCGCCAAACTCTCGACGGGTTGGCATATCTTCATCGAGAAGGCATTCTTCATCGTGATCTCAAAGCTGATAACATCTTACTTGATGTCGATGGAACGTGCAAGATTTCTGATTTTGGTATCTCAAAGAAATCGGACAATATCTATGGCAACGATGCATCCAATAATATGCAGGGATCCGTGTTTTGGATGGCCCCTGAAGTCGTTCGGTCACAAGGTGAGGGATATTCGGCCAAAGTGGACATTTGGTCACTTGGATGCGTTGTCCTAGAAATGCTGGGTGGGAAACGACCTTGGGCCAAAGAGGAAACTGTAGGCGCTATTTACAAACTGGGGAGTTTGAGTGAGGCACCGCCAATTCCAGATGATGTTGCCCAAGCCATTAGCCCTGGAACTTTAGGTTTCATGATGGACTGTTGGACTATGTATGTTTCTATCATCTGTAGCATTTGAAGTTTTTTACTAACACCACAATGCAGTATTCCAAGCGAACGACCAACAGCCGAAACTCTTCTTACCCAGCATCCTTTCTGTGAACTGGATACTCACTACAACTTTCTGGACACAGAACTTTATGCTAAGATTCGCGGCACATATTAATTGCACACACGGCCGTTCTGCAACACCTGACTTTTCAACAGCTACCTCTCAAAATATCCATCACCTTTAGGATTTCAGTTAATATTAATTAGACTGAAGTCTAGATCTATTTTATGCTTCCTCAGCTTCTATATTGCATGATTTGGTACTATTTACAAAGCAAGCGGTACGATTTTGCGGGTGCCACACTGGCTGTTGGAAAAAATATTGTATTTGATACCATCTCCTTTGTTTGTATTGCTTTTTTTCCGGTGGTTAGGTGGCCTGGTGCTTATGCGAGGGATATACGCGAGATTCTTGGATAAATGAATCGGTCTATTTACGGTCTGTATGATTGGTCAGCATTTGCACACTATGGAAACAAGCAACATGATGCGAAGAGGGTCCTGTATGTATAGTACGATTCTAGTGAAATGATGAGATTTACACGATATTCTCAGGGTCGTTATGTTGAGGCAAAGGGCATACGTTTGAATATGTTAAATGCTGCAAAACGGTGGATCATTTAATGAGAAGCATCAAACTAATTGACTTCCCTTAAAGGAGCTTCCATCCATGAGACCTTGGAGAGACATCACGTAATTCATCACTAAATTTGCGCCAACGTGTTAATACTTAGAAACAGCTATTCACCATTCTATCTCCCCCTCTTCTTCGGACTTTCCCTCTCCACGAGCCCTTCAAACAGCCCATCCCTCTCCCTGGTAAGCTCCCTCAACTCCATTCTCAACCCCTCCAGTTCCAGTCTTGCCAAATCGACATCTTGTGGTAAACCATGGAATGCCTTAACCTGCATCTCCAAATCCTTCACTGTCGCCAACCACTCTTTGAATTTCTCTTCTTCAGCTTTGATAGTTTCTACTGTTATTTTGGACGTAGAAGGATTGGAAGAGGACAGGGCGGCTATGCGCTCACGGATTTCTGGCAATTTACTGGTGAGAATTTTGATCTTGCGTTGGAGGTCGAGTGTTTGCTTTGGTAGGTCGGTGGGAGCTTGGTAGGAGGGTGATTGAAGGGAAGCGATGAGTGTAGTCAGATTGGTCAGTTCCGTGGTGAGGGAACGTTGAAGAGTAGCCACGCGTGAGGTGGCTTGAGAAAGTGTGTAGGATGTTGTTTGCAGAGAGAGTAATTTGCGGCCGATAAGTTCAGTGGATGGAGAGGATAAATTGAGGGTTGTGGATAGAGACGAGAGACTTTCAAGAGCAGTTTGGCCTTCAGGAGTAAGGGAATCTTCGAGGGTGTGCAAGAGCTCTGTATTTGGGTCATTATCGAGGGAGGTTTGGATGGCGGTGAGAGCATTCTCTCGAGATCGAGCCAGGAGTTCTTGTTCTTCGTCTGCGGTCTCATTGAGCGAGGCGAGAGAGAGGAGGGCTTTGAGTGTAGAGGCATTTCGTTCGAAGGCTGGAATGGGTTGATTGGCGAATTTAATCAAGAGCCAGCTATCTATATATGACCAATCTTTAGCAGCTGCAAGTTGTTGACGAGCAACTGTAGGTGAGAATATCGTTGCGGGCGAAAGGTGAGACATATTGAGTGTAAGTCGATTTGCAGATCCAGGAGTCGAAATATGAACCCCCGTTGGGGAGGTATTATCTGTAGGAGGATTTAACTTTGGAGCTATTGGAAACAGTATAATATTTGTTGTAGATTGTTGTAGATTCGAACGAGTGAGACTTTACGACCTCAGATAAAATTATCCTGGGAATTTTGAGAAAGAATTTGAGCGGATAGAGTTCAGGACGTTGTGATAAATTCAGGTGTAAGTAGAAGATATATTCTTGTAGAAAGTGTTCACGAACAATGCCAACAAGGTGAACAAGGCTGATGGTACGCTAAGCAAGGATTTGACGGAGATGTTACCCAATTAAGGTAAGGCTCTAAGCATTTCAGCATCAGATAATGAACTTCGCCTCATCGGCCCCAATTAACCAGGCCTCAAAGACCCCCCGAATTGAGTCGAAAAGGCCACCTAATTCTACCGATATCCTCAAATATCTTCCACGTGTAATCAATTTGTTCATATTGTTCAACTGTTATTGCCTTTTCTTAAAAACCGTCGCTCAATCATTTTCTTCTCATTCTTCTTCACTCTTTATTCCATGCTTTGAACTCTCTACATTTAGATCCGTCGTAGACGTACATACATCCACTCATAATGATTGTGAAAGTAAAGTTGTCGGTCCTTGCCTTCGCCGCAACTCTCTTATCCTCAAACTCTTTGGTTTCGGCACTTTCTGCGAATGATATTCCTTCTGATACCCCCATTTCATCTTTACTGGCATCCGCCAATGCGCATCTGGCAAAGGGCGAAACGAACGATGCCTTAACTTATTACGATATTGCTATCGCCCGCGATCCATCGAACTATCTCAGTCATTTCCGTCGCGGGGCTGCCTACCTTTCCCTTGGTCGCATGGCTCAGGCTGCCCAAGACTTCGATAAGGTATTGACAATCAAACCAGGCCACGAACCGGCATTATCACAAAGGGCGAAGATCAGAGCAAAGAATGGAGATTGGGAAAACGCCAAACAAGATTACCTCTCTCTCGGCGCATCTCATGGAGCCGAAGAAGAACTCGCGAATTTAGTAGAGGCTCAAGGCGCAGCTAGTTTGGCAATGGATGCGGAGAAAAATCAGAACTGGGAGGAATGTGTAACACAAGCCGGAGCCGCAATAATGGTTGCATCCAAGGTAGTATCACTTCGCAAAACTAGAGCTCATTGTCGATTCGAACGCGGGGAAGTCCAAGAAGGAATGAGTGATCTCAAACACGTTCTCCAAATGCAACCAGGACTTACGGATCCCCATCTCCGGATTTCTACAATCAACTTTTACAGCTTGGGGGAGATGGAGCAGGGTATGGACCAATTGAGGAAGTGCTTGCATTCAGATCCGGATTCGAAGAGTTGTAAAAAACTATACAGGAGAGAGAAGACTCTCGATAAAACTTTAGCCCAGGTTCGGAAATATTTTGAAAAGCATCAATATGCGAGCGGAGTGAAACTTCTCGTTCCATCCGGGGAGGAAGTTGGGCTGGTTCAAGAGATAAAGGATGATGTCAAGGAACACCGAGAGGCTGGCTTGATCCCTGAGCATGCGCCAAATCACCTGCTCACTCAAGTTGTCGAAATGGTTTGCCAGGCCTATCACGAGGTATGTTCAAAGCTATGGAGTCATTTTCTCTTCAACTAACGTGATATAGACCAAAAATACTAAGAAAGCCGCTACTTACTGTAACGAAGCTCTTTCACTCAACGAAAACTCCCTTTATGGACTACTTCACAAAGCCCAGAAACATATGGAAGCAGAGAACTACGAAGCTGCTATATCCACCCTCAACACTGCAAAGGAAAACCATCCTGAAGCGCAGCAGATTGGAGGACTCTTACAAAAGGCTCAAGTAGAATTGAAGCGAAGCAAAACAAAAGATTACTACAAAGTTCTAGGAGTTCCTAAGGATGCAGACGAGCTTCAAATCAAATCAGCATACAGAAAATCAGTCAGAATAAATCATCCAGATAAGGCCCATAAGCAAGGAATTAGTAAGGAAGAGGCTGAAAAGAAGATGGCAGCCATTAATGAAGCATATGAAGTACTGAGTGATCCTGAACTGAAGGCTCGCTTCGACCAAGGAGATGATCCAAATGACCACGAGCAACAAAGAGGACACCCATTCCAACAGGGTAGCCCATTCGGAGGTGGTGGATTCCCTTTCCAACATGGCGGCGGGCATCACGGTGGTGGACAACAATTTAATTTCAAGTTCGGTCAAGGGGGATTCAATTTCGGTTAAGAAGATATCTTTGGTTCTGAATCCAGGCGTTGGTTAGGTTTTGCAAGTTGACGGTGATTCAACCATTTAGCATACTCTGTAAAATGTACACATCATGGCTCCAAGATGCCTATGTGATAACATTCAAGAAGATAAAGAGAAAAGAAAAGAAAAGAAAAAAGAGAAATCATTCACAAATTCTTAGTTGGAGATTTATTTTCTGTGATTGCATTGTATTTATGATTGTGAATATGAGAAGTATGAATTGATCAATCACGAAGCCTCGTCATCAGCCTTGTCAACTTTCGGGCGCTACTGTATAAATCCCGACGGCATAATGGCACTGACTTTGAATGCGGGTCAATACAAACTTCAAACTTAGCACACTTACCACTTCCTTTCTACGAACAGTGCAACAGTGTTCAGTGTTCAGTGTCTGTCTGTGTTGATCGCGACAAACTGGGACTCGATTTACAAGTTGTCTTAATTGTGCGGCCCATTTTATTGCTCGATTATAATTATATTTTTGCACATAAAGGCTTCGGGATGCTCTTACGATAGCATAGATACCTTTCTCTGTAAACTCTCCTTCCAGTTGCACAAACCAATATGGACGGATTCGAGGTCGCATACACTTTAGATAATGAACAACAATTCTGGGATGGTATGTACATATATATGGCTCCCTTGGGCTCTGTGTTACTTGGAGTACTTACTAAAGATTGTCTCTAGAGATCGATGACATCGTTTCTTCGAAGTGTCCGTCGCATCAATTCATTGACAATGCGCTGCGATCCTACTTGAAATTTACAACCAACTTCAAAGACGAATATCTGCAATCAGAGTTCGAAGTTGCAAAATGTTTACATAAATTGATGCAGAGCGAGCTATTCGCAGCGAATAAGGACTATGTGAGGACTCAGATCGTCTATAGTCTTATGCAGGAGGACGTACCTGCTACGCTACATGTGATAGCGAGCTTTCTACTATTTGATGGGCGCAATAATGAGACAACTTTCGAGATGATGAATAAGGAGGGATCTTTTCCAAGGTTATTGGAACTGGTCAAGAAAGGGAATAGAGAAGACCCAACTTTACATAGACTACTACTGGAACTTCTATATGAGATGTCGAGGATGCAGAGGCTTAGTTTCGACGACTTGGGTCAGGTAGATGATGAGTTCATCATATGTCTCTTTGAGATAATTGAAGAGCTATCGAACGATGTTGATGATCCTTACCATTATCCTGTTATTCGAGTTTTAGTAAGTCTCTACCGCAGGTTTAATCTTCCAACTGCTAACATCTTCTCTAGTTAGTTTTGAATGAACAGTATATGGTTGCTTCCACATCAACATTGGATCCTTCACATACCCTCACAAATCGAGTTGTTAAAATTCTCAGCCACAAAGGCTCATCATATATGACCTTTGGAGAGAATATTATTCTTCTACTGAACCGCGAGACTGAAACCTCTTTACAACTTCTGATCCTCAAGCTTTTATATTTATTGTTTACTACAAAAGCTACCTACGAATACTTTTATACTAATGATCTTCGCGTCCTACTGGATGTCATAATTCGTAACCTTCTCGATCTCCCTAATGAGTTTGTCTCTCTCCGTCACACATACCTTCGAGTTCTTTACCCATTACTTGCACATACACAATTACAGCAACCACCACATTACAAGAAACACGAAGTAGTGAAAGTGCTAAGCATACTCGGTGGATCGGGTAATGCACATTGGGAACCAGCAGACGAAACCACCATACGACTCGTCGAGCGAGTAGCCAAAGTTCCCTGGCTTCGGGACGACGACATCAGCGAAGGAGAAGTAGCGCGGAAACTCCTCGGTATAAGCCTCTCGCCGTCGCATACCGGTAGCTCGGTAAGTGTTTCGGATGTAGCTGCCGTTACAGAAAAACCCGGTGTCCAGACACCTAGTCGCAAAGCAGAGAGTGAAAACGCTGCGCATGATCACTATACGCCTGTGACGGCGCCCTCTGATGAAATTCCAAAGAAAAAACGCGCGCTGCCACCGCTTCCACCAGCTGTTAGGGCAATTACTGCTCAAAAGAAAGTACCACCGATGACGCCACCGAGGAGGAGAACAAGACTTAAGGCTATGACCACGCAGCCACCTGAAGCGGCGGGGGTTGAGTGATGGATCGTGGAACTATGTTATGTGTATTATTGGCGAATTTGGAGTTATCGTGGGGGCATTGGTATTAGGAAGGGAAGAGAAGGTCTTTGTTCCTCCGTACATAATACAACGGCGTCGGAGTGAGGAGTGCAAGGACGGATGAGTATTTACCCACTCAAAAATTCGGATTGAATAGTAGTTATCCAAAAGTCAAAAGTTGCTAGGCAAGACCATCAACTTCCATTTGAATATTGAGAGTCTGTATACATCCTTCAGGAAGACGATTAAATACAATCAGGTCTTACCCAATACATCATTACTCCAATGCCAAGCTGTGTTCCTTAAGCCGTTCATCCAATATATGTACGGCGTCGCAGGTGGTAGTGAATCTAAACTTTAACCCTCGGGATAGCCCCACTATTCAGTAAAATGAAATAGCAAAAGAGTTCACGCGCCTGGCGCACTAGGCGCGCTACATCTCTGTTGACCTATTCCGCGGTATCAATGACTCCGAAGGGATCGAATGCTCCCCACAAAGATACCGCGCGCACCTCGAGTTGTTGTGTCTAACCGTTAAGCTAGGTTGCCGATTGTGTCAATACCACCATTTGACGAGAGGAATGGCGGGATTGAAGATTATATTGGTTAGGCGAGGGTGGTTGTAGTGAATGGTGGGAAGCGGGGAGCAGATGGTGAGGGATGGAGGAACAGTGAATTAGTATTCATTTTATATTGGTGCGTGTTGGGCTGGTGTTTTATCATCAAAAGCTATGCTAGTACACTCTGCTTATTGCTTAGGATTCTTCGGGTTCTTCAGAGTAGGGTACTGCACTGTGCGGCCTGGTTCAATTTGGGAAGTCTCTCATATTTCATTATCGTCAATGTATTTCCATTTATTAGCTCGATCTCTATTCAGAAACGGATGCGGCGAGTCAGTAGCGCCTTCATTCTTGGATAGGATGGATTATTGAAAGACCTGGATACAGACTCTTAGTGACAATGCATTCTTGAATTATGTCTTCTTTTCGTCCGATTCTCCCCATCTGATATCGGGTGAATCATATACTGGTGAGTGACGCCAGGTACATTTATTGAATGCATATGACAAGTTTACGTACAGATCAGAAACTAGCTGGTTAGGGGAACTTTCACTTCTCTGATCCCTCTCTCTCCCATTTCATCCTTTGCACTATTGCCCACCCTCTTATCTTCTCTAGCTTTCTGGCTGTCATCGTAATCCTTCTTTCCAAAGTTGCAGAGTTCCAAAGTTCCAAAGTTTCAAAGTATTCCGAGTGGTGAATGCAAGAGTGCCGTGACGCAAGAGAAAACATAATATGAGACCTGGGCTGGTTGTCTTTGAGTTGAGATGCTAATAGCTCGTTCTCTTTCCCAACTCTCCAGTGCCTTGGTATCCAAATAATAAAACTGGCAAATGCAAAAATTGAGATATTAAGTACAGAGCGGGCACAGTCAAGACGACTTGGTCAAATTAAGATGGATGACTAACTATGCATCGACTGCATTGCCAACACCACCGGGCCCCAACAAGTAGTTGAGTCTGTCCCTCGCCGGAAGACCGACGACTATGATGAGGAGAATTGTACTGAGGAGTAACGGGATGAACAGAATTATCAATGATACCTGTAGAAAAGGAATTGTTCGAGCTAGACAGAGCTAGACATATGTAGGCGAAAGTGAAAAGGGTAGCTGAAATGATGCTTTTTAAGTTCTTGAATTCGTGCCTCTTACCATGCATTTTCATTTGCTAAATTTTCAGTGCGTGGGCTTGATTTCAATTCGATATGAAAAACCGGATGTCAACTTTCAAATTTAGTTCAAACTTCAAATGATCAAGTAGGCATGTTTAGATTGAGTTCGAATAACCGAACATCAATATTTTTGAAAGTAACTGACTATGTATCATTTCCAGTCACACGATTTCCACCGCTTTGAAATGCATCAGGCCTCTATGGCAACAAAAATTGGTCCGCATTGATTAAAAGAACAATGAGGCAATTCGTGCAAGCCAAATGTACAAAGTTACTCAAAAGACCAGTTTTGTTTACCAGATACCTCTCTTGGTACTATACTAATCAACCAATCATCACTTTCCTTCCGGGCGGAGCAACCTGAGGAGACATATTATTGAGGTCCTGGCCTGGTTCAACCCAGCTTCCCCCTTCTGGTACTGACTCGAACCTCATTGCCAGCATTGCCACGAGCGCCGCTACCTCCACCATAGCAAACCCTCGTCTAGGGCACGAATTCAACCCTCCACCAAAGCCTCGAAACGGAACCTTACCGCAAAAACGATTCGCGTGAAATAGGTCGGCCGTGTCTTCCCAGGTCTCCTGGTCATAGTGTAATGCTCTATTGGCTATAATCACCATTGAGCCCTTCCGAAGCAGATACTGATTGTCTCCCACGATCATAACTTGCATAACCATACGCGATTGTGTTCCAGAAGCTCTGAATCGTAAGGTTTCTTGCTGCACGGAGAAGAGTATTGGCGCGTCTTTTAATCTGCGGAGGTTGATTTTGCTTTCCTAAATACCTGCTGCCAGCGATTGCGCGCTGGTTGTTATTCCTCGCACTTGCTTCCGCACTTCCTCGAGAAGCTCAGGATCTGAAAACACGTGGAAGATTGTCCAGAACGCCGTCGGGACCGTGTTGGTCATTATCGCAATGCCATTGACACACTCGAATCTAGCGAGGTCTTCATGACTCATCCCGGTCGATAGACTGGAATATCTTACTTTGACCAGCGATGAACCAGTCTTTTAGGCGCCGTTGGTAAAGTATCGAATCATTGCCTTTATCACTATAGCTCGCCCGATTTGACTCCCAAAAGGAAGTTTTGACTTCTTATCAACATAATGTTGTTAATAGGAGCGTGAAGTTGTCGTTCGCAAAGTCCCCATATCATATTTAGCTTATTCGGGCAAGTACAAGCTGTCTAAGCACGACATACCAAAATCCAGTTTCCACCTTGAAATCTCGATACGGATTTTCAGGACCGTAAACGCTTTCCGTCGTGGCAACCGTTAATTCATGCTGAACCCATGCCCAAAGATCAGTATTTGTGTTGATATCACCTGCTTCATCTGCTAAATTATCAAGTCGGGCCTTGATATTTTCTGCCGCGACCCGGATCATATCATCCACTCCACGCAGAGGGGACATTGCCTGCTGTGTAGCTTTCAATCCCTCTATCAAAAGACTAGGTTTCTCAGACGCGGGCTCTAAATTAGCAACCAATTTCTCCATCCCATCTCTGCTTAGCTCCCCCAGCTCAACTGTAAATCGCGCCTCTAGATACCAGAAAGAAGCCGCCTTGCCCTGTTCTGAAGAGAATTTATGAGTTCTGGAGAGCTGACGATGTGCACTTTTCCCCCAACCCAAACATGGGGATCGAAAGGATTGGTGCTTTCCATTTTTGGCTGTGCGTTCAATGGGGTGATAGTTAGCACTCACGAGACGTTTTGCTCTCGGTGGGAATGAGGGACCTACCAGATCTGGGTATAGTACGCACTCCTGTACTAGAAGAGATTGAGGGCGTGGCCGATATATGGAATGGTTGGTTTAATTTCTGGTGGTTCTTGAGAGTTGTTTCTAGAGCCGCTGCCGAAAGCTCGGGTTAGAAATGTGAAAGATATTCCTATGATGGCGAAGAGTAGATAGATTTCTAGAGTCGCCATGATTTTCGTTTCATGGAAGTTTCTCTTAGGAGTTAGGTGGTTGATATCGAGTTTGATACATTTAGCATGTTGGGTGTGGAGAAGTTGGGGGGGAGTTGTTACTTGAAGATGTGTTGGCATATAAAGTATCACAGTATCTAATTCAGGATTCACTTGATACCGCTACACGATCTACGACTCCATTGGTAGCTAATGAAGCGAATCTGCGGACCAATTGTTGGCTGTTGGCTGTTGGTATCTTGTTACTTTAGCCTGACTATTGGATCCTGAGACATGTGCCTCATTACGCCGCACGATTGTGACAGGAGAGCAAGCATGGTAAAATGTTATTTCTCTGATTAGTCGATTGGTATCCAATGTACTGGAAGTCTCATGAATTATATCACAGAAGTTACTACCATCAGAAGTCCTCTCTGCAAAGATAAGATAGTGCTGTGAAGAGATTGAGGACTAAATGTCTGTTCGGTTAGAAAATTCCTTTGATTTCCAGTGCTGTTAGTTTTTGATGGGATTAGAGTCTCGAATGGGAATTCTTGAGACAAGATCACCGAATCTGTTCCTAAGTCCAAAAAAGCCCGTCCCATACACAAGCTAGAACACCCATACAAACATCTCACCCCCCATTTACCACTCCCCCAAGTCTCTCTCTCCACCCATCACACTCCAACGACCACCTCACCGCCTCCCTAAGCCCCTTCTCAAAATCCCCAATCGGTTCATACCCCAACACCCTCCTCGCCCTCTCAATACAACACGTATGTTTAAACAGTGCATACTCCACCTGCTGCCTCCCCAACTGATACGGTCTCTCCCTCCCACCCGTAAAGAACCAAAACACACACTCCAAAAACGACGAAACAGCCAACGCAACCCCCGCTGGCAAATCGTAAATCCGTTCATCGGTCGATGTGTAACCCGCAAATTTCCAAATCATCCTTGCGAAATCCCAGAACTTGCGTGCTTCGCCATCGTAGATATGAAACGCTTCTCGGTTTGCGGATGGGAGATTGGTGGATTTTCACTGCTGTGTAGCGAGGGGTGCTCGCGCGAGTAGAAGATGTGAAGATGCTGCGTTTTGGACGCTGCAGAAACTCCAGAGATTTTTCGCATCGCCTAGTACCACGTTTATTCTGCGCTTTTCCAAGGCGTTCAGTGCGCCGGGTATACATAGCGGATCGTGCGTTCCGTAGATGATTGGGAATCGTAGGGTGCCTGTGCAAAGATAATCCTCCCATGTGGATACTTTGTTTTTAGAGTCGTCTGTTAGTAAGGGATTGTTTGCACGCAAGATTAGTTTTTTCCGCCTGCGCTTTAGTTCTTGCATTTGCAGGCGCTTTGGGGTCGGTATCGGCGAGAGGAGACTCTTCGGTGAAATTTACGTGGTCTGGTCCGCTGCAAAGAAGTGAAAATGAAGTATAAATAAGCACCTGTACATCCTTGGACCTTTTCGCGATGCGGAGAAGATCTTTCGTGCCCTGGATCGCTACCCCGTTGTAATCGATCGCTGTTCCTGTCACTGGAGATGGGGATGCGACGTGCATGATGACCGTAGGTTTGAGACCATCCATCAATTGCTCTATCGAAGAGGCGTCGGCAAGATCAACATTGTGGTAAGCCGCTCATTTCACTTGGTTTTTGCTTCGTTTGGCAGAACGACTGGCGACGACGATAGGAGAGAATGTCGCATTCGAAACAAAACGGCACACAAGGTGGTAACCCACAGCCTCCGATTATAAGGACACCGAGTGGTTCATTTCCACTGTCTGAATTCTGAATCGACGTCTTCATACTTATCGAGATTATTGCGTGAAAGTGATCGACGAATGATTCGAGTATGTAATCTCAAGATGTGAAAGCTAGCTTAGTATGACACGCCAGGCTGTATGCTACCCAAAATGCAACAACATGTAATGTTGGTTGCAACTGTTGCTATGAACCTGCTTTTTGCCGGCGCACAAATACAGCCTGCCACCTCATACTAGTGAATTCTCAAATGTAGAAGCAAGAAATTCATACATTATCCTATTGAATGGTCTCGAAATCTCATATCACTGGGCCTGAATAAGATCACTTATAGGGTCGTACAGAACCAAGCAGCAACTGAGGTTTCAGGGGCCTAGCTCGTATCAAACAACTCCCAGAATTGTACAGATAGGTTTGAGTATAGATGATATGAATTATAGTATACGACCAGGTATTGCACCGCCATTTTTTTCCAACCCTTTCACGTCACTCATATCGGCAGTTAAGTGTTGAAGCGAGCGAACTCTTTGGAAGCTGGTATGTATTATGATGCTGACTAGATACCTCCATCCCGTGACCTTTCAAGAAGATTTATAGCTGGAATACCGCTTAAATAACTAAGTAAACCTTACAGCGGAAAGAATTAACTAAATCAACCAGATGGGTCATAAGTTTTCCTAGGGGTATGCAATTTCTGAGTACCGGACCCACACACAATTTCAACAGAATCATTAGATACAAAACTAATATACTTGAAATCACCAGCCATTCTTCTCCCATGCCGGTATCAGATAACAAAACATACTGTACGTGCTGTTAAGCGCCAGCCCATCAGTGCTTCGCCAAAGACCCCTAACCCTCGATGCCAAAGCCACAGCATCGGTATTTAAGCCAGAATCATCATACCAAGAAGAAACCGCCGCTTATGAGACTGATCTGAAGTACCCCTTGATCGTGATCTCATGTTATCTCATTATGACCTGGCCCTAGCAACTGGTAATGACACCACCTTTGGTGTTATTCCTTTCTGCCTCGGAGGTGGTCTTAGTACTTTGACTTGTACAATCGGTTTCGGGTGCGATCAAATACTAGCGGCAAAATTTATCACTGCCGTTGGTACTTCTGTACACGCGAGTACAGATGTTGGGCCCGAACTCCTGTGGGCTATCAAAAGAGCAGGCCAGATGTTTGGTGTCACGGTAGAGTTGACTCGGAGACATATCTACTGTCAATGTTTGGGTCGTCATCAGGGACACACTAGGTCGGCAATCTTTGTATTCTTCAAATGTTACGGAGGAAGTGTGCAGGGTGATGGAACGATTGATAGTCACCACGAAGTATAACGCCGCTGGGGTCATGATGGTAATGGCATCACCCCGGCATTTCAGCCAATGATCGCTGTTGCATCCATTTCAAGTGAGTCTTCAGCCGACCAGGATCTTCTCCCGCCCTTGATAAGCATGTGCACTGGCTTTGTGTGTAAAAGAACACGGGGCAATGTGAACATGTATACGCCTACTAGAACATTCAATAAAAGTCTCGAATTTGGCGGAGATCCAGCGGAAGAACCTCTCGCATTCAACCTCTTACAGATCTCATTCCGATTCTGCCATCAGCATCAACCCTTACTACCCTAATTTGAGCGACCACTTGGACTTCGCCTGTGCAAAGGGAGATTTCAGACGGCTCAGCTTGACAGAATTTCCTGATTTCAGAAGCCTAAATTTCATGAAACTTATCGAACTTTATAAAGAGTTGTTGGCCACCTGCCCCGACGCTGATGCTTCTGGTCATGTGTTCGAGAGGCATACTGAATACCAAAATTAACACCAGCCAATTGAGCTTTTGGTAATGAGCACGTTCAGTGATGGCTGTAAGAGACATCCTCATGTGTTGAGACAAAAGTTTGGATCTTTTCCTTTCTTTTGTTATTAATTAGCAACTGTTTCTCATGCTACCATAGAGCAGAAAACCACGACATTGTTCCCGACTTCGAGAACAAAGCGATGTCAGCTGTGAGAGATGGATATGCTGGGGTAGACTGGGTTGAGTGTGCGAATTGCAATCGCACAGATCCTATTCGGCGACAGTATCGAGGAGAGGAAAGTTTAAAGAAATTGAAAACATTGAAGCAGGAGTGGGATCTGCAAGGTGTTTCCACACGAAAGTTATCATGATACCCAAGCGGTTCAACTAAGAGCCTAAGGCACTGAGCAGTAACGGATGGAACTTGGAACTTGAAAGATGAGAATTAAAGTTATCCCCTAAGGTGCTGATTGTACTTATAATTTTCTTTGAAATAATTAATCTTTTAATTATTAATATTTTAATAAATTCTAATGAAATAACTTTTATGTTTAATATAAATTATAAAATTATTAATATTCTTACTTGAAAGATTAAAGATTCAAGTCTTAAATTCTAATACGATGTACTCTTTCGTAGGTCAACTACTATAATAGGTAGGCGGATATTGAATAATGTGTAAGGATGACACGGACATGAAATTATTAGAAAATAAATGATTAATCTATGATTGACGCTCTTTCGAAGATTTGATATCCGACTGATCTTGGAAGAAATAATTAGCGATATTCAATCCGCTCCAGCTTGTACATGTACTGTACAGTACGCCAGCCATTATATAAATAAAAAAAATATAACTTATATATATCAAATGAAACAAATAAAAATAAAAGGGGTTTCCTTCATAAATTGTCTCTGATAACTTGATACTCCTATCTTTTTAACACGCTGACGCCGTTTTCCCGTTAGAATTAGTGAGTGACATTTCAAGACTCTGTCTTAACATGGACCCCTCTCTCGACCTTCTCCCAGCTTCTCCCACAATGCCGATGTTCATGGAAGAGAAAGTGGAACAATGAAATGTGAAATGTGAATTGTGAAATATCGATCCATTTGCGGGGAAGCCCCCAAAAGAGTAGGGATAATCTATCGGGAGATCACATGTGCTAGGCTCAATATAGTAAAGCACATGATGGCAAGAGACCTTTTGATAATGGAACGCGCGAATTGGTATGAATGATGATTTATTGTATTTGCCTTGTCTTCTAGGTAGGGAAGGTACCGGGTACTGGTGGTACTCGAATACCTAGCTGGGTATGGCATGATGATTTGAATTGAAGTGAGAAAGAAGATATACCGTAGTGTATGTTTCGATGAGACGAGAGGGATCTAAAAGCAAGGAAGGAAATGGAATATGCGTGGAAGCATTTTGAATGACTATCAGTAGATGTCAATCATACAGTCCGTCCTGTGTAAGTAGTGTGATGCACCTCACATGATGAGATCTCTTATATTAAATTACTATCATGTCGCAGGCTAGTATGCAACTTGCAAGCTTCTTCACTAGATTCCAGTACCCTAGTACCTCATGAGTAATTACTAATCAGTTACCAAGGAGAGAAAGAGAGATGTTTATTTTAGTCCTAGGTAGTACCCAGTACTCAGTACTCAGTACCCAATACCCAATACCCAGAACCCAATCCCGAGCACCCAACCCCTAATCGTGTGTATGAATGTCATTCCAATTTTCAAGCCAGAAGCCCAAAGGAAAAAGAGTTGTAACGACGTAAATGTCTCCAAAAGTGATATTCGACGTGATGTATGTCCCTGGTGTAGCACGAGTACCAATGAATGATCAGAGCAAGAACAAGAACAAGAACAAGAACAAGAACAAGAACAAGAACAAGAACAAGAGCAAGAGCAAGAGCAAGAGCAAGAACAAGAACAAGATTCTTTCCGATTTCTCTACATATGATTGATCCTTTGATTAACCCTTTGATTAACCCTTTGATTGGTCCTACCTGTGAAATTGAGATTTACCTATTTATTAGTGCGTGTCTCGATGTAGGTAATCTTATTACCCTCCCCTCCCCTCCTACCTCAAGCTCAAGCTCAAGCTCATGCTCAAGCTCAAGCCTCCCACCCACACACCCACTCACACCTACCTACTTACGGACCACACCTGGACTGAAAGGAAGGTCATGGCTTTTCAACTTTCTTTCTTCTCTTCTTTCAAAGCCTACGAGAACGAGGCCGCTTTTTCCGTCTGATACTTTCGGTCATCCCAAAATTCACGTCATAGGGAAAATGGATCCTGGTTATATGTGATTCCCGTCTCTGCTGTAAAGGTTTCATAAGTGTAACGTAAATACCGGTAGTCGATGTATAATTTCCGGATTGGGATCATACGAAGGTATACCAGATATTAGCGTCTGAATAATTGATCGTCTATTCCTCAATATCCCATCTCCATCTCCGTCCTATGGATTCATATTACATTTGTCATTCATTTCCGTGTAGAAGCGATAGGACAGTATCTATCGAGTATTTATTTCTCTTTATGCTACGGACCCAGATATCATTCGCCTTCATACCTAGACCCCCAGTAGACTTATCGCTAAAAATCCCATCAAGGAGTGACCACCTGCTTGTCATAGGTATATGTAGGTATCTACATTACGAGGTAGGCAGGTAGTTCACATATTCCTTCACCCCTCCTCTCCATTCTAGATCATCTTCCAAAATCCCTCGTACCTACATCACCTACTATCTACCATCTATCTTCATTAAAGAAAAATAAATATCGAAAAAAAAAAACTCAAAGACTCCAGAGAGGCACAATACAACTTTTCATTACATATATAAAGAAAACAAAACCATCCTCACATACCTAAACCGGGCATCTCATTTAATTTTGATTCTTAATAAATCTTAATAAATATCGAAGAATTGGGAATTTCCGGTTTCCTTCCCTTGACTAGTAAATTTCCGTCCATTGTTTGCGCTACTCTACTTATATACTGGGTATCGAATGTCTTGGGTCCCTTATTAGTACACAACCCACCCATTTTTAGCTTGATCTGCCCCTACGTCACGTCAACGATCCAATCCCCAATCCCCAATATCAACACCAATAACAATAACAATACCAATACCAATACCAATACCAATACCACCAAACTTCCTTACTACTGTCTGTACCTTCAATCACTACTACTTTCCCTGCCGTCCTTTCCTTTCCTCTCTCTCTCTCCCTCTTCCTTCCCGTCCCTTCCCTTACACGACTCGTCCTTTGCCCTAGTTTAATCAACCATGTCTACCATCGGCACAAATTCTGCAATTCCTGCCCCCGCGCAATCATACAATGATCGAGGTTACGGCGCTGCAAGTACCCCACGAGCACATCCACAATCTCAAATCACCAACGGAGAAGGTCCTGCAGTCTTAGATTACGCTTCAAACGACCACGATCCTCACACAATTATTCAAAACGCACACGGAAGGTTCAACGAGGAGTGGGATGCGAGTCAACGAGGAAGCTCAATAATAGAAGGCAGTAATATGCATCGATCACATTCAGTCATGTCGCAAGGCGATACCTTGATTCCTTCAAGAGGAGGAACTCTTAAAAAGAAAGCTTCATTGAAAAGAAGTGGTAGTAGACGAAGTTCCAGGGCTGGAAGTGTTCGCAGTTTGGTTGTTCATCCACAAGGTGATATCGACGAGGCACATAGTGCTTTCTATTCTCCCGTACCCACAAGCGGAAATCCCACGGATGTTTTAGCAAACCGATTCCAAGGTAATGTCACCATAGCTTTTGATCGGCGACAATATGCTAATCATTATCTTCCATTTTCAGCTTGGCGTAAAGTCCTCAAGGATCTTATCGTTTATTTCAAAGAAATCCAAAGCCAGTATGAGCACAGATCAAAAAGCCTTTTGAAGGTCTCAAATGTTATTAACAATACCACCGCGCCCGCCGTCTTTTTGCCTACGGGTGGAATTGATGACGCTCTCCAGATCCTTCGCAATTATCATAAATCCGCAATCGCAGAGGCAAACAAATCCAGAGATATCGAGCAAGATGTTATTCTTGCCTTGACCGGCTTGCGTAGCGATTTGCAACAGAAAATCAAGGAGATCAAGGGCTTATCGGGCGACTTTAAAAATTCCGTGGAGAAGGAGATGGAAGCGACTCGAAAGGCTGTGGCCGCATTGCAAGATGGTTTAGGTCAATCAGACATCGATCCTTCTCAAATGACGGGCAAGCATGATCCATACTTACTCAGACTTGCTGTGGATCGTCAGGTTGAAAAGCAGATTGATGAGGAGAATTACCTTCACCAGGTATGTTTCAATGTTAAATTTAAATAAATAAAAAAAGATGCACAGGTTCAGGAGCTAATATTACCAGGCATATCTCAACTTGGAAGCCTCTGGGCGTGAACTCGAAGCTATCGTGGTAGGCGAGATCCAAAAGTCTTATAACGCGCTCGCAGGTATATTGAAGCGCGAGGCAGACAGTGCCTATAGCGCAGTAGACGAATTACGCACGGGTCCAATTGCCATGCCAAAAGATCATGAATGGACCGCCTTCGTCGAGAATGATGAACATTTTATTGATCCAAGGATTCCTATTCGAACACCAGAGATTGTAAGATATCCTGGGCAGGACAATGAGCTTGCTGGGTGCATTAGAGAGGGTCTCCTTGAGAGGAAGTCCAAGTTCCTTAAGGTAAATCCCCCCCCCCCCACACCCAAGTTTCCACGATCTTCTGCTAACTCTAATTCAGTCTTATACGTAAGAGAATGATTCAAAGTGATAACCATTATATGTATTGTATACTAATTTCAAGTCTAGTGCTGGCTGGTACGTCCTTTCTCCTACTCACTTGCATGAGTTTCGCTCTGCGGATAAAATCGGAGCGCCAATCATGTCTCTCTATCTACCCGAGCAAAAACTCGGCTCTCACTCAAATGAAGGAGGATCATCAAACAAATTCATACTCAAAGGCCGTCAAACTGGTGCATTACATCGCGGACACTCTTGGGTTTTTAGAGCTGAAACACGTGATACTTTACTCGCTTGGTACGAAGACATCAAGACTTTGACGGAAAAGTCTCCACAAGAACGCAATGCGTTTGTGCGTCAGCATGCCCGCAGCGTTAGTGGTACATCACAACGAGCTGGTTCTATCAGCAGCGACGGTGTTATGGACGAGGAGGACGAAGAACCATTTTCGGCACACACATCAGCCATTGTAGGCACTCAAGGACTCAAACAAGAACAAAAGCGTCCTGAACCAGGTGGGAGATTTCCATCAGATCTACAAATTAATGCGACGCGTGGCTTACAGGCTCCCCTTTCGCCTTCTAGCGGAAGTTCCATTTTTGGAGGTGAAGCAGATGATGCAGTGATTACCGCTGCAGCTCTACCCGCAAGTGGTGTTGGCCATCACTATGGAGAAACCCTTGGCCACGCGTCGCCGACACACGCGCAGATGATAAATCAAGCTGCTGAAGAAGATGGTGTGAATCCTTATACTTACGAACCCATTCAGAATATGAACACTACGCGTAATAGTCAACAACATGAGCTGCCCACTACGGCCGCTACCGCAGGCTTAGGCGGCGCCGCTCTGGGAATAGCAGGCACAGCCGCATACCACGATCACCAGCTCCAGAAACAACGCGAGCAAGCAGACATGGAAGCGACTATGATAGCCGCTCCTGACACGGACCGACTCCGAGAACAAGCAGATATGGAAGCAGCTATGATTGCAGCACCCGACGATCATATATATGACGACAAGGCACAGCAACAAACAGATCTCGAAGCCACGGCCACTGCTGCACCTGACACACACATGTCCGGAGGACGTAGCCAGGGCGATATTAGCGCGGCCCCTTGGTTCAATGAAGCGGCAGAGACTACGGCCCTATCGACAGTAGTAGCGGCTACCGCGGCTGTCCCAACTACCTCAACTGTCACAGATACTGTTGAACCAAGGTCAATGGAAGCACTCCTCGATCCCCTCGCCAAGGATCTCGAACGTCCAACTTTGGCTGCTGGGCAAAATCATCAAAGCGTCCAGAGTATCAGCCAATTGCATGTTCCGGGTGAATTCCCCAGGACTAGAACAGAGACAGGAAGTTCTGTGAGTAACGAAACTATCTAAAGTGGGTCACATTTCTCTTCTTTCTTTTGGTAGGACAGAATTCAACGGATTGGAACGGTGAAGGGAGAAAAGGAAAGAACTTTGGAAGCATTCTGTATTTTGTGCGTGTGAATTGGGTGCGTTAGCGGGTCTTACGGTAAAGGGGATGAAATGGAATGGTTGGGATTGGATGGCTAAGGAGGAGGAAAACTAGGTTATAAGACTTGGGAACGAGGAATTGTCATGGTCATGGTCATGGTGGAGAAGGTATGGATGGATGGGTTTGATAAGATTTCCGCGATACTTTTGCTTGAGGAACCTGGGATTGAATGCAATGCAATGCGATGAAATGATCTCCTTTGTGGATTTACTATTGACTACTTAGGTATTGCCGAGTAGATATGTCCTGAATATGAAAATATTAGTTTTATGCTCATGTTTGTGTTTACATTCATTCTGACATGGTGACTTTGTCCGGAAGGGAGGGGTAGGATATTTAGTGAGTTGGTGCCAATGGGAGAGGAAACAGGAATAAATGCAATACTGCTAGTGAGGCAATGTCTGGGGCAGAGACCCTTTCATGTCAAGAATGCCAGAAAGAAGATGCCTCGATCATAACGTTTATGATGACATATACAACTTATCTAGTACTGTACTCTCCAGCCAGTTGGTCATCTTTAGGCCCTACTCTATACACGAATATACTGGCGAGTGAACTATGGTATGATTTTCTATCTGTTGTAGGCTGTGTTTCTCTCTCTTCGTTACTGAAGGGTGTAGGAATGTGGGGGGGGGGGGGATCGTAGGGAAGAGCAGAGAGGAGGGTTATGGTAGGGAGTAGAAAGGGGGAATGATAGCTAGGCTAGGATGGGAAGGAAAGGGAGGGAACCGAGAACGAACCTGATAGTTTTCTTGTGGTTTGTGGTTCTTGGTTTGGATGAATTGGATGTGTATTTTCATCTCCCATGCCTCATCTTCAGACAACAAATTATAGTACGTTATCCCTTCTTCCCTTGCCCATGGCAATGTCTCCTCAGCCACCCCAGGATAGATATCCACAAGATTCTCGATGAACGTTTATTCGTCTCTTGTGTCTCAGCCAGGAAAACACAACGAGTTATGTGGAATTATTCATTAATTCCTCTCATGAGTGTGTCTGGCAGCGAGAAACAACACTTGGGATAGACAGAGCCACACAAATCTATACATGCCCTTAAATACACCACCTGGTATTTTTTCACAAGCATGCGTCTTCGTAACACTACTAACCGACCTATGCGAACTTATCAAATACATCTGCGCGCATATAGTCAGTCTCTCAACAGGACACAGCTCCGACCAATCACCAGTCTACACATCATATCAGGGAGACACCGGACACTCCATTATCAAATCTACCCAATGCAATAGCCGGCACATTCCAAGAACCTCCCTGGCAACAGGGAGTAAGCACCGCGAGAGAAGCTCCAATCCACCCACGGTTTGGTTTGGGGTGTAATCATGAATCTAGTCGAATAGGAGATGGGCCTCGCTAACGTGTCGCAACTTGACTTGCCGAGGATCTTCGCGAGTTTTGATGAAAAGTTCATGCTCCAAGTTATTCTTCTGTTTTTGCTAATACACGAGTGGATCTCTTGCTGTGGTTATGATTCCGTTCGAACTTCAACGTGTCTCTTCGTTATCGGTGTCGCTACACACTGAACCGAGTCTTTCTCGCGTCGATATACGGTCGCGGTTCTTTTGGGAGAGTGGGATTTTGGGAATGTGTTAGGATCTTTAGATGGGTTGAGATGTGCAGATGGAGTGAATCTTCAAAGGGGTCGGAACTTTCAAGTGGATTGGGAATTGAGAAGGGGTTGGGCATTTGAATTGGACTGGAACTTGCAGATGGACGGGAAATTTCACTTGGGGTGAATCTCTTGAATTGGCAGGCAATACAAACAATGCTAACGTTCAAGCCAAAAGTTTTTATCACTTTCCGAATTCTGGAATACTCGCGTTTCGAAAGCTTGTAACCTTGACGTGAATAGCTTCGCCACAAACCCTCCACGTAGGATGATAAATATAAGCTTGTGTCTTGTGCAACGGACTGGCACTTCGAATCACGAAATCACTATGAGATTGTATTGTTCTTTTCATTCTTCTCATCTCCTCATCACTCATATGACGCTAAATCTAGCATGCTAACAGCAAGGGTAACGCATTGCATCTCACGCCCCTTTTTATGCAGCAGTCATAAAACTTATGCTCGTGTTTCACATAACCTTAGTTCATCATCTTCGTACGTATTTTCTCATCTTATCATGCTCCTAAACTTCCTTCCTCCAAACGTCTCACACTTGTTAAGCAGCAGGCGCAACAGGAGCCGCGGCTGCCTCGACAGGCTTCGCTTCACCCGGGAAAGGGTTATCTGACCTTCGCTCATCACGAAGTGCTGTGAGCTTCTCAATTGCTTCTTGCAATGAAACTGGCTTTCCTCGATCTTGACTCGAGGTATCATCACGATTTCTAACATTGACTTCACGACCCTTCATTTCTGTGTCGCCGACAACTTTCAAGGGTATTAGTATCATCTTATAATAAAAGGCAAAGGTGACAGCTTACCAAAAATAAAGTTGTATTGTGCCAATTGACCTGTACGGATCTTCTTTTGAAGAGTGTTGCCACTGAGATCAACATCAATGAACATTTGTTGTTTGTGGAAGATGGATTGCACTTCCTTGGCATATTCAAAGTAACCAACTCCGACTGGGATAACAAGGATTTGTCGAGGACTCAACCAGAAAGGCCATTTACCAGCAAAATGCTCGATCAAGATAGCAGTGAAACGTTCGATACTACCTGCCATAGCTCGGTGAATCATGACTGGTCTGGCGCACCCAGGGGTAAGTGGTTTGTACACTCTTTCCTTTGGTGGAGCATTTGGATCCTCTGGTTCGGTATTCTTCTTTGGCTTGACGATGGGCTCCTTGACGGCGTCTTCATCCTTCTTAGTTGGTACGTCACCGGTATTGTATTCAAGTCCAAAGTTCTGAGGTAACTGGAAATCAAGTTGGATTGTAGCGCATTGCCATTCTCTCTTGAGGACATCGCAAATAGTGATATCAATCTTTGGGCCATAGAAAGCACCGTCGCCCTCGTTGAGTACCCATGGAACTCCACCATCGGTTGCCGCGAATTCGTCCAAAGCAGATCGGAGTTTCTCCTCTGCCATATCCCAAGTCTCAAGTTTACCCAAGTACTTCTCTGGGCGAGTAGAGAGGTTCAACTTGAAGGTGAAACCCAAAAGACCGTAGATAGCCTTGAGAAAGTCGAACAAACCAGTGATTTCATCCTTGATCTGGTCTTCCCTACAGAAGATGTGGGCGTCGTCTTGTTGGAACCTTCTTACTCTAGTCAAACCAGTCAACGCACCCGAAGCTTCATTGCGATGAAGTACACCAAAATCTGCAACTCGCCAAGGCAATTCTCTGTGACTGCGTTCGCGGTGACCGAACATCAAGCAATGGCCAGGGCAGTTCATGGGCTTCAAAGCAAAAGTATCCTTCTCGACAGGGAATGTGAACATGTCATCCTTGTAATACGCCCAATGACCAGAGGTCTTCCAGAGCTCAGAGTTGTACATATTTGGCGTGATAACTTCTTCGTAGCCACGGGTCCAGTATTGCTCTCTCAAAAATGACATGATTGTGTTATAGATACGAGCACCGTGTGGCAACCACATGGCAGATCCAGGTGACATCTCGTGGAAGAAGAATAATTCTTGATCCTTACCGAGTTTTCGGTGATCACGCTTTGCAGCCTCTTCCAAAAATTTCTTGTGCTCAGCCATTTGCTTCTTATCTGGGAATGAAACACCATAAATTCTTTGCAAAGAGTCATTTTCCTTGTTTCCGAGGAAGTAAGATGCTGAGTTCTTCATAATAGCAAATGTCTCGATTCTGCTAGTGTTAGGGACGTGAGGGCCTCGACATAAATCGATAAGAGGTCCATTACGGTAAACAGTGGTATTGGTTCCGTCAGCGATCTTGTCCTTGATAATATGCTGCTTGTATTTATTGTCCTTGAACATCTCCAAAAGATCATCCTTAGAGAGAACCAGTCGCTCGAACTTTTGCTTCTCCTTGACAATTTGACCGACCAATGTCTCCAGGGGCTTCCAGTCTGCGTCCGTGACTGTTCCTTGATTTGGCAGACCCATCTCGTAGTAGAAACCATTGTCGATAGGGGGGCCGATACACAAACTGCAACCGAATCGTCTCTCTGAAGCTTCGCCCAAGATATGAGCACTAGAATGCCAGAAGACTCTTCTGCCCTCTTCATTTTCGAAAGGGAGCAGCTCAAGTGTGCAATCCTTCTCTAAGGGTCGCTCCAAATCCCACAATTGTTCAGAATCTCCATTCAATTTCGCAACAACGGTGCGCTTGAGAAGACTCTTCGAGATTCCCTCTGCGATTTGAGCGGGTGTGGTCTCCCAAGCAATACCCTCCTTAACAGAACCGTCCGCCAGAGTAATGGTGATGGGATCTCTTGGTTTTGCAGCAATCTCCGCATCGTATTTTGCCTTCAACTTGTCGAAAACTGCTATGCGATGAGCGATAAATTCTGGCGCTGGGTTGAGTTCCAAAGGTCCGGCATCGACCCCACTGTCCCCTCCCTTCTCCTTCTTAGGCTTTGGTGCTTTGGGTGCTTTTGGTTTCTTCTCTCCAATGGCAACATTCTTGATACCCTCTGCCACCTTCTCAACTGCCTCCTTTGCCTGTTCCATGGTGTTCCGAGGTAGGTTGTTATTCGAAGTTTGCTGTACTTGGGAGGAGTCAAGTACAACTAGACGGTGAACTCTTTTGATTATTTTTATGACTCCAATTATTGTAACGTTTGTCCCTCCTCGCCTGGACCGTGCACTCTGCAGATGACTAAGTTATGTTTGGCCAATGAAAATCGTTCTCACCCTGGGCTCCACGCTACCCAGTTTTCGCTTCGAATAATTTTTTGGAGAGCTTTAAGTTTTGTACCTCTCCAACGATAACGCCAAAACACCCTCGAGCAATCGCCAATATCAAACAATGTCTTTCCGAGGCGGATCAAGAGGCGGTCGCGGTACCGGCGCAAATGCTGGTTTCAGTGGTGGTAGAGGAGGATTCGGTGGTCGTGGTGGAGGTATGTTAATATTGTTTTGCGAATTTGAGCAGATCGATTTGTGCGCAATTGCTAACGATTCACACCAGGACGCGGCGGTTTCCAGCAAAGGGACAATGGTCCTCCAGCAGATGTATTTGGTATGAAAATTTCTTTTCCCATTGTTAGAGCCAATTGCTAATTAGAGACAGCTATGGGATCTTTCCTCCATGCCAGTGAAGGAGAAATTGTCTGCGAATCTATCAACACTAAAATTCCTTACTTCAATGCGCCAATCTACCTAGAGAACAAGGTATTAAATCTCAATCAAAAAATCTTCCGCAAAATATAGACTAACAACCAAATGATAGACCTCAATTGGTAAAGTCGACGAGATTCTCGGCCCCATCAACCAAGTTTACTTTACCATCAAGCCAACCGAAGGTATCCAAGCTACTTCATTCAAGACTGGCGACAAATTCTACATCGGCGGCGACAAACTTCTTCCTTTGGAGAAATTCCTTCCAAAGCCAAAGCCACCTCCAGGAGCACCAAAACCAAAGAGAGCCGGTGGTGCCAGAGGAGGTAGAGGAGGACCAATGAGAGGCGGACGAGGCGGTGGAAGAGGTGCCCCACGTGGAGGAAGAGGTGGCTTCACACCAAGAGGTGGCAGTGGAGGGTTCTCTAGAGGTGGTGGCAGCGGCGGATTCTCTCGAGGAGGTAGTGGTTTCACTCCTCGAGGTGGCGCGAGAGGTGGATCGAGAGGTGGATTCACCCGAGGTGGACGTTAAAATGGTAAGATAAAGAACTGAAGTAGACCAAATCTGGGTATATGGCGTTTAGGGATATGTTTGTTGGTACGGCTTGGGCTGCTGCGAACTTCTGTGCAAAAATTGTACTTTCTTAGTCAATAGTCGGTGGACGATAGGAAAATCATGAAGCTTCGGGCAACATATTACACATATAATTCCAAAGAGAGCCTGATCCAAATTGAGACCAATCGCCCGCCCAAAGATTACAGATCGAAAAGCCTCCAGTCACGTTATCTTCTCTGTATATCTGGCCTTCATCTACTCTTAAGAGACATTCTTCATTTCCAAAGAATATCTCCTGAGAGTATCTCGAATAACTTGCTAGATTTTCGATCCTATACACATTTCATGTGACTATCTAATTCGTTGATTACAAACACAAAAATGCATACAATCCTTCTTGCTCTCCATTATATAGAAGTCAGTAATTCATCACTTCCCGATTGATTCACAAGATAAAAACTGCAGCCGTTGGAAAATTTCGCTCACTGTTGATGTGTTGTGTAAAAATGACTTCACGTTTACATTATTGATTGTTGAATTTCTTATTCAAGTGATGGCGGATTGGAGTTTTAACCGCCGGGTATAAGAGAAACGCGGTAAGAATCATATCACAGGTTCATGGCGAAATAGATCGACGACTTCTTCACTTGCACATGGTCGTTAAATATTACTGAGACGAGGATTGCATCTAATAGGTATGTTTGCGCCAATTCATAAACTTCAAGGTATCATAATACATGCTTCATCGCCACCTCACCACCAAGTCGGGTATGTCTATTGCCATCCCTTCTTTCCACCACTTGCCCCCTTCGTAATCCACACTCGATCCCCAGCATTGTATTCTAATCATGGCTTAGGAATATGAATGGTCTTACTAGTCATCATGCAGCCCCAAAGAACAAAAAGTCCCACGACTGGATGAAATTCAAAAATAGTACCAGTGCCCATTGTTCCTAATGGTATATTGTCCAAGATCCAGCCCTTGGACACCCAGTATGCCATTAATGCGGCAATGGAAAGGGAAGTAGGGATCGGCGTGCCTTCAAAATATTTACTCTTTCCAGTGGCATCCTTAGGAACATTGGCTACGGTGATATTGAAACGAGCGAGACGGGTGAGACCGCAGAGGACGAAGAAAGTAAGGAAGAGGTGGTCGAGAGGAGTGCGGATACCGATAGCAAAAGCTGCAGCGGCGGGCGAAACACCAAAGGATACCTATAGTAGAAATCGTTAGAATCAATTTTCCGATACGCATGACAGTAGAAGGAAGAACCGTACCAAATCCGCCAAAGAATCCAATTCTTGACCCATTAAACTACTCTTCTTTCTCCATCTGGCAACCTTCCCATCCATAAAATCGAAGAACAATCCAAAAGGCATAAAAGCTAAAGCCGCCCAAAGATTTCCATGCGCATCGGATGGGCCCAGACAATATCGCATCGAGGCAAATACAGACATAACACCACAGAACCCTGATTCAAAGCAGTTAGTCGATTTGTGCGAGAGACTTTTGTTAAGGTAGAATTACCATTGAGTTCGGTGATCAAATCCGCAAGATGCAACATCTTGATCATGGAGAAATGCCCTGTATCTTTCTCTAACAATCTCTTTTGTTTATCCATAGCTAGAGCATACGTTAGCACACGATATAATATCATGAAATCAATCTGTTGACCCAGGAGGGGGAGGGGCAATCAAAGGAGCAATCATGAACATACCTGGCCCACCGGCTGTTGAATCCTTTGTTGCGCCATTTACGGCGCTGCCGCTATTTCTTTTCGACATCGGAGATATATTAACTCACACTGAGTATTGGAAGTGTAAAAAAAAACGTGAGGGTATCGTGAGGTTGTTGGTTTTGAGCCTTTTTTGGGAAGAGTGATTTTCTAGGTTTGTTTTCTTTTCGATTGAAGAGCTTGGTTTTAGCAGACATGACGTTGAGGGATCGCCAAGCCACAGCTGAACAAGGGGCTTGAGCAAACCTTAAACACCAATAGCACTTGTTATTGCCTTGGAAGGAATCTGAATGCATTGCACAGCCTTTTCACCCCATGGACAAAGATCGTATTCGAATTGGTCATTTATTACATACATCAATATTTGGGTACCCAATCATATACTAGGTGTTACAGTCACTCTTGTCAAGAATTTTGAGTAAGACTCGGAAAACATGCACAGCTCACAGGTATATTCCACAGATGTGATTCACAGATATATTCCGCAATCACTTCATTCAAGACTTGCCAGGAATTGGGAAATATGCCATTTATTCTAAAACGCCTCTATAGATGTGCCCAAGTTACGCCATTCGCACTCAAGCTTTTACCTAGGTATTGTTACTAACCACCCTGAAAAATAAATATCATAGGATAAACGGTAATCTGTCAAACCGTTCGAACCACGTCTTCCAAACCAAATTATACAATATTAATGCGTACTATTCGCTCCCTCTAGCGATTACCTTCATGTTTTTACCGAGTAAGAATAATACCAAACCCATCAATCCATGATGCACATGATCCTGAAACGCCTGCGATAGTGTATCCTCTCGGGGGTATCAAAGTATGTCTGGAAGTGTCAGCGAGATATTTTGTGAATAGCCGTATGTAATAATATGAACTGTTGTAAGTCCTGACAACTAATGCGATATAGCGCCGGCGCGGGATGGGGGAATACTAACCCAGAACCACCAGCAGGGTTTCCAAAAACCTGGGACTTCCTGCCTAAACTAGTCATAATTGCAATTCCGTCCAACCACAACCCACTTCTAACGTAGAATCCAGTAATGTACTCTCCACGACGTGTATCTAACAAAGTATTAGTAGTTCAGGCGGAAAATTTGGGAATTCTGGTCACATACCAAGACTGAAATCTGCAGATGACCCGCCCCTCTTGCCAAAAAGTTGAGAGGTCGCATCCTCATAAATAAACTCTATACCGTCGAGAGCGAAGCCCGCCCAACTAGAACGCAAGTCAGTGATCGCACTTAGGTGAAGTACCTCAAAAATTCTAGGAATGGCGACCCAATATGGCCCTTCCCGCAGGGTTGAATTAAGGTTTTTACTTACACTCTCACTTGTATCATTAGTTTCGTTTGATGAATTGAACTGTCAAAAATGACTTCTTGTGGCTGGGTTCCATCCATCTGCGATGCACCCAGCTTGCTGCTTCTAAAAGCCATCTGTCCATTCTTCAATTTTAGCTTACTGGCTTTCGAGACTAGTTGAGCAAAGTCATCAACATCATGGCTGCCACCGGCGAATGATTTTACGGATATCTTCAGTTTCGATTTTCGGCGGTCTTCGGGTAATTGACTCCTTAAATCTTGCTCTGTAAGAGTCAATTGTCGTTGAATGGGTCCATTGCCATTCCCATCTCCAAACTCTTGCCAGTTGTGACAAAGATCTTCGCCATCCGTAAATATTTCGAGGAAAGCTACACCAGATGCCGCTGTAATTATCACACTTCCATTATCTACAGGCCATACTTGTATGGAGTCATCGTTGGCTCGCGGAGGATCTGTGGGAAGTGCGAACGATGGATGACTTCGAAAGCGTAGAGTGTCTAGCCTATGCCAAGTGCATTCGTCTCTTGGTAAAACCAGCCCTCCCTTCGATCTGGTGCGTGTTGAATAAGGTTCTCTGGTGGTGAATGATCGGTTCAACATGACGTAGTCCCGAAGCATTACCCCGTTCTCTTGATGGGGGCATCCAAACAAATGGCCTACTTCATGTAAGTGGGCACCTATTCCGATGTTGGCAGCCTCCCAGTTGCTGCCAGATTCGTTACAGTCATTGGCTACAAAATTAGTGTCGGTGATTGTACAATCAGAGAATGCTGGCACAACTTCTTCGAGGGTAGATGGATAACTTTGTAATGCCTGACTGCCAAAAATAGCTAGTTGAAGCTCGCCGCCTCCACCTCCGAGGGCCGCATGACCAGTAATCATATTGTGCTGTTTCTCCCAGTGAGCGTCCAGAAGGAGGACTGTCACATACTGTTTCTGACCTGGTTGGGGCTTAAAATAATTTTTGACATCTTCACTGGCAAATGAAAATAGATCGCCTCGGCGGGCACCATTTTCATTCTGCTGGGCGACATCAAGATGCCGAAGTTCAGCAACAGTCTTAGAGCTTCGAATAACATGGATTTTGGCTTCACTTCGCATTGTCCCGGCTTCCCTGTCTCTGTAGTTCGAGGTGCCTGTAATCCACTCTTCTTCGAATCTAAATGTCCTCCTGCCAAGCTTGTTTCGGTACATCTGCTCAGCAGTAAATGCTTGCCACCTGCTGACCGTTAGTTCGTTCTCTTTAGGTAGAGAAGATAGATATTTAGACTGATAGAAAAAAAGAATCAAACTAATAGGATATGGTGTCTCCTTGTCCCTCCCCGCAAAAAGGTCGTTCATAGAGCCACTAGTTCCATAGGAAGATGATAATTGCCAATTCCAGCAATGACAACTTGCCTACTCACCACTAGGATAGTAGAAATTTATACAAATGAGAAATATACGTACAGATAAGCGGCCATTCTGAATTTTCGTATAGCAGTATCTAGGCCATTGCCTTCCCTCTCAATGCGCGAAGGAACAGCATCAAATGTGCCGGGTGAATCTTTTCCGAGCAGTATAACCAACTGAAGTGGAGGGTTTGTAAGAGTAGGCAGCATGTGAAGAGTGAGGAAAGAGGAGTGTACAGGATTAGGAGAGTTGCTATTCGCAAGTTTTGGAGATGTGAAATCGAATCTCAATCTATTAGGTCCCGGGGTAAGGTAAACAAGTGCCTTAAAATGAGACTCGGAGACCGGCCAGTATGTCGGAGGAAATCCATCGTCTAGACGAGTGACTGTGAGCGTCCCATCTATTTGAACTTCTGATGGTTCAGATATTGTGCCGTATATCGATAAGACCTTTTGGTATACCTGTTTGATGTATGTTAGCTTTACCAATCCTGGAGCTATGATAGGAAAGCTTACCCATGTGTTATCAGTGATAGATAGAATTCGCGGCGAATATGGCGAGACGGGCAAAGCCGACTTCGAAGAAGGGGATCCTACACCCGACATTCCAGATACACTTTGTCGATTTGATCCAGTGGTAGAAACATTTGGTCGAGTTGCTCCCATGCCGTTGAGGTTCGATGAGGACTGTGAATTTGTCATTGTTGGTGGGGTTGTAGCGCCATGAGAAGAATTTAAGGATATTTGCGATTTACTCGAAGTGAATGTGTTGCTTCGAGGGGCACTGCCACCACTCGCATTGCTACCAGTAGATTCACCTGTGCTAGAATCGGTTGTTTTTGCGACGGACTTGGAGCGCCTCTTAAAGTCCTTCAAAAAAGAAGGGGCCATGATATAGCTAGAGCAAGGAGTGTAGCTGAAGACAAGGTCTCCAGATTAGTTAGCTTGCGATGTTTTGATATCAGAGCGAAGAGGACATTGAAACAATCCTTCGGAATTGATGGCAGCGGAGATGATGGCAGACCTTTGGTGGTATTTTATTCAGGGGAGTGCTTCCCTCGACTGGCAGTAGTTGGAAAAGAGGAGAGCTAAGTTTGGGACTAGAGTGATGAAGCTTCCTTCTTGATGTTCCTGATGGGGGGGGGGGGGCTTAGAGGAAAGAGGTTCTCCAGGGATATTAATCAATGGGGAATCAAAGAAGGCAGATCCTTCTTCAGAAAGGCAAAACGAAGGTGTGAATAGTAGTTGTGAATGTTCTAAATGTATTTAATGGATTTAACGTTTTCCATTCAATCAAGCATAGCTAGCTGAGCGCTCGTATCAAAAGCAGATGAACAGTAACACAACAAAGAGAATGAGTGTATGATGGAAGACCTAGGAAATGATAGTATCAAGGAGGATTCTTTTAAGAATAATTGATTCTTTTATCATTATTAATACGTGTAGATTGTGCGAGAGGATTAGGTATTGTTCAATTGAGATGAAATTGGAAGAGAAAATAGGTAATTAGCTAGATGATCTTTTAATTCATTATAAAATACGTAGTGAGGGACGTAGGTTGGTAGTAGATGAGTGGAGTGGAACGGTTGGAGATGAAGTTGGTTACTAGGTAGGTAGTAAATAAGTACCTGGTGGTAGTTGAGTCGATGCAGGTGGTACGTGATAGTGTAGAAGTAAGTAGCAGATAAGAAATTTTATACCAATACCTGTCCCTATCTAGTATATACACAGCTATATATGACCAACCACCTATTCATAAATATAAATATAAAATATGAAAACCATAATATCATGATTAAACCCCAATTCATCTATATATCACATCCTACCTACCTAGTCGTATTTGTAGTATTTATCACTGGGGCCCTTGTAATTAATGACATCCATGAATACTCCGTCGTGATGTTATCCATCGAGCCACTTATTAATGTTGAACGGAAAAGAAAAAGAGTACTATGATCACACAGACGGTGCATCGTGCATCGTATCGTATCGCATCGTAACGTAGAGTAAGCCAATTGATGAAACCAATCATTTCAGGATGCTTTTTTGGATCATTCAAAATTCTGCTGCAATGGGGACTGCATTTCAACGGCATTTCAACTACTAGGTACATTTCAACTGATACTGCACCCAACATATATTACCCGTAACAATACAATACAACAATATGTGACATGACATGATTATCCATCCAACCAACGAATTACAGTACAAAAAGAGACACATGTTTGATGAATGATCGTCGATACCTTCCATTGATGTTCCGAAAGTATCTCTTTGACACAGGGAAATTTTAGCAGGGGTGTAACCCAATTCACTCTATCTACGCGGCTGCAATCATCTGAGAATCACGAGTCAACTGACTGTACCTAGGTTTGCTGTCTTATGTGCTGCGGCCGATTAATTCCTACACAGCATATCTGCCGTGTTGACTGCGCATTCCAGACTTCAAACTGCAGGCTTCAGGCTTCAGACTCCAGACTCCAGAGGGGGTATGTTAAGAGATGACGTTGTAATGGCACAAGTACGGGTTAAAGGAAGAAAATACTTCTTCTTAGCTACTGTCCTGGCTACTGGTAAGTACGGATGGCTAAAGGAAGAGAAGACGCTCATATTTGGGGGAGCTCGAAAAACAAGCAAGACTCCCTACTCACTCTAGTAAGTAAGTAGTTACATACTCCGTACTGTAGGTACCTAGGTAGGCTCGTAGCAATGAGCGAGATTGTCTGATATCAAAAGGTTCTCATGGAGTTAGTACAGGTATATCATAGAATCCTCTGAACATACCATCTAGATGCTCCCTCCATACAAAGATTCAAGAAACTACTACAGATAGTGTTATTGTATAACACAATTCGAGATTTAACAGGTAAGTGTCAGATCTAATATATGAACAATCTACTCCGGCCTAAACTTCATTCATCTGAACCTAATCTGATTCTGATACAATTCAACAGACTGTTTGATATCTGTAATTTGAGTCTTACCTTCAAAAACAACACCTTATCATTGGACAGTGCTGAAAAGTTGCATCTCTCTTTTTTGACTGTAGTTTGTCTTCCTTTCTATCTCTATTTCCTTCTTTCTTTTTTTCTTTTGCCCAAAGGCTCTTGAGAAGCTTTCAATTTTTCTGAGCCCTATAATTCGTTTGTCTTAACCACATTACAGAGCCTGAAGACCTAAAAATTGCCGCTAATTCCTTTAGACCGCTAGACCAATAATCCCTTAGCAGCTCAGCTCAGTCTGATCACTTCCCCTTGTAAGCGATGGTAGCAGTCCCAGGAATGAGCAACGGAATTCTCACCACTTCATCTTCAATCCGTACCATTCAATCATCATACAATTGTTTCACTTCCTTGAAAAACTATACCATAACTCCGATTCTTTGGGGGGAGATAATTTTATAAAAACTTCTGTACAATCATTCATTTATATTGCTGTTGACCCGCAACGGAAAACTCGTCCAAGAAAAAAAAACCAGGTGGAAGAAGCTAAGGCTAATTTCAACCTTTGGCGCCGACCTTCCATTTCTACCTTTTAAGACTTTCCGTAATATCTGCCTCCTGTATATACTTCTTTTGCAGCCTCATCAACAAGCAGACCTATATTTTCAACAAACTAGATATTGATTAATATGTCTTCTCCATGGAAGAAGCAGCCAGAGGAGGTAGCGGGAGCGGTATTGAAAAGAGCTGAGTTGAGCAAGGTAGACACCTTCTTGTGCTATTCGAATCAAGTCCACTGCCCCCAACACTATACTAATATCAAGTTATCTAGATGGCTCGGAAACTGCAGAATCGATTGGCTCTCGCACAATTCAAAGCCGAAAGGGGTTGGGAAGATCTTACACTGGATACAATAGAACCAAGGATGGAAGAAGAACTACGAAGAAGACGTCCAACCTCAAGTGGAGATATGTTATCAGACTCATCCTCCAGCGTTGCGTCTGAGCTACCTTACTCGAACCGAAGAACCTTACTGAGTTCCCCTTTGAAAGCCACCGCCATATTTTCCGATCGAATTGTATCAAGTGGTAGCAGCACTGGGCCTAGGAAGAGGTCGTACCACACCACTTTCCAACAACCAAGCTCAACAACTGGATCTCGAAAAAGAGTTCGCTCTTCCCCCACACCAAGTAGATTATTACGTCAACCAAATAGCTCCTGGAAAAGTCACCGTCAACTAGCCCAATCATCTCCTCTCAAGCCACGCAAACCTCACTTCACCACCTCGGCAGGACCGGACCTCTCGTTCTACCGGGGATCTTCACATATGCCAGATGATCTTACCTCCCCCAACTTCGCAGCCCCATCTGACGATGAAGACAGCCACCTTCCTCTACATTCCTTTAATATCCGTCCTTCGTCTCCGCGAACCCCGTCTCCTATCAGGAACAGAGGCAATTCACAGCGTCGAATCAAAGAAGGTAACGGGAGATCAGCAGAAGAAGAAGCGGATCTTTTACTATATCTCAGTAGCCCCGCAAATCCAATCTCACGAACGAGCATGATGCAACCGCCATCTACACCACCGTCCAGGAAGCTTGATTTGCCATCATCTATGATGACTACTCCTAGTTATAGTGGTGGTCTTTCGATATTCGGTGCGCCGGCCACACCTTCACAAGGATTCGACTTCGCCGATTTTGTCAATATAACCCCGAGTCCCGCTCAAACGACTTGGACTCCAAGAGCTGCAAAGACTCCATTAACTGTTGCACGTAGGCGCTTGACTTTTGAGAACTTTCATCCACAAAATGCAAGCCCATCAAGGCGTGACAGTCCTGCTTCTAAGCATACGGGACTTGGCATGCAATTAGGTGGTGATCTTTTACCCTGATTTATGCTTATTTTACGTTTACGATTCACATTGATGTTCGACTTCTATTCTCACGATTATGTTACTTTGTATATGAATTTGACGGCTCTTATAATGTTCTTTCTGCATGCGGTACGAGCAGAAGCTTGGTGTTGTGGTGGGAAGCTAATATCCTGGAAGTAAATCCCTGGTAGGGACATGAAAGATTTGATAAGTTTGGTTAGTTCAATTGTATCCTATGCTATGGTGGTAAGAAAAAACATGATAGGAAGAGACGGCGAGATATAACCAGCGGGGTTGTGTGGCCTAGGAAGGGAAAGGAGTGGAGTGGAGAAGAAGGGAAGGAAAGCAATCCTTGAGAGCGCGTCTTTTTGTCTTTTGCTCACTACCTATCTAGATAGAATGGCGAATTTTCGTGACAAATACGCGATATGGGGATTTCAATAACCAATGAAGTTCAAGTTATCAGAAATCAATTGTTCTAGAATTTATGATTGGTGGATTGACAAAGTGGCTTACAAAATATGGGGCATGACAATGTGATAGGATCACATCTAGATTCTGTGCAAAGTACATTGTCGGTATTAGGTAGGTAGGTAGGTAGGTAGATAGGTAGATAGGTAGGTACGTAGGTACGTACTAGGCAGGTAGATACCTAGGTACCTCGGGTGGCTCGGGTGGGTGTGTTCCGTATGTGCCTAGTAGTATATACATATTTGTACATTTACAGTGAATACCTACTATTGTACGAGTATGGGCTTGCTTGAGTGCCCATTGGCTTCGGAAATTCATACTGGGAAAATGTCCCTTCTCGGTATTTCCCGTTGGCCGGCTTAATTTATTATACACATACGCCGCCAACTGTTGAGACTTGGACGCTATGTTGACTGACTTAAGTACTCGATCGCCTGTGTGATCATTAATCTGCTTCTTCCATCATCATTCACATTCCAGTGTTTGCCGCATCTTCTCAAGGATTGGAGCTGCACGTCGTACACCTTATTCGAAACTGTGCCTTTGCTACATATTGGAGACATGACTTCTATAAGTATTTGGGTAGCTTTCTCCCTCTTCTATTTCATTGCGAACAGGATATACAAATCACGCATATATTCTGCCAAACTGCGCAAATTCGGGTGTCAAGAACCAGTACCAAAAGACACTATCGGCCGTTGGCCTTTCGGTCTTGATATCATCAAGATAGCTCTGGAGGCCGATCGAGGAAAATTCTTCCCAACCCTCCTTCAAAGAAATGTCGAACAATATGGCATAACATTCAAGTATACGATCATGAGCACGTCGAGCCTTTTTACAGTAGATCCTCAGAATGTAAAAGCTATTTTAGCAACACAATTTGACGATTTTGATCTAGGGCCAATGCGGATAGGGGCTTTCTGGCCTATGCTTGGGAAAGGCATATTTACGCTAGATGGCCATGAATGGAAGGTAACGAGGGATTTGATGAGACCTCAGTTCAATCGGGATCAAATGAGTGATTTCGAGGTGGAGGAGAAGCATGTTCAGAATCTGATGAAAGCTATAGATACCAGACTTCAGGGTGACTGGACCGAAGAGATAGATTTACAGGTTCTTTTCTTCCGATTGACCATGGACTCTGCCACGGAAATTCTTCTTGGACAGTAAGTAGGATATTTCCCACACTCACTTTGCACTCTCCCCCAAAGATCTCGGGGGTGGGGTGCAAGAATACTTGATGATGTACAATAATAACTAAGCTAACAATGGTTTTAGGTCTGCTGATACCCAGCTTCTCGGTCTGCCAGAAAATCAAACAAAAGCCCAGGGTACCAGGATAGATATTGCGGCTGAGTTTGACAACGCTCTGTCTTGGCTTTCTACTCGTGGCCGTTTTGCTGATAAATACTGGCTGGTCACCAGCAAAGACTTCAGGAATTCTTGCAACAAATGCAACGAATATGTCGATCATTTTGTTCAACTTGCTCTTAACAGAAACTCACTGGCCAAAGATCAAGACAAATATGATTCAACCCCCACCAAGAATCGGTACATTTACCTGGATGCCCTTGCGAAGGAAATACAAGATCCGATTGAGCTTCGTTCTCAGTGCTTACATTTGATGCTAGCAGGTAGAGACACAACGGCATCACTACTAGGATGGCTGTTCCTTTTATTCGCCCAAAATCCCAATCATTTCCAAAAGCTGCGCAATATCGTCATCGAAAACTTTGGAACATACGAAGATCCTTTGGAAATAAACTTCTTGGACCTCAAAAATTGCCGATATCTCCAACATTGTTTGAATGAAGCTTTGCGACTTTATCCACTTGTACCTTTTAACGTCAGACAGGCAAACAAGGACACGACCCTACCACATGGTGGTGGAAAGGATGGAAAATCGAAAGTCTTTATTCCAAAAGGGTCAATAGTCGAATACAGTGTTTTCGTCATGCATCGCAGAAAGGATATTTGGGGTGATGACGCTGAGGAGTTTCGACCTGAGAGATGGGAAGGAAAGAAAGTGGGATGGGAGTTTTTACCTGTAAGTTTTGGTTCAGCTCTTTTCTCGTCCGAGGCTTATTACTGACTTTGAAAAGTTTAATGGCGGTGCAAGGATTTGTATCGGGCAGCAATTCGCCTTGAACGAAGCTGGTTACGTTACTGTAAGACTTCTTCAGAGGTTTGATATGATTCGAGATATGGCAACGGACCCAGTTGTGAAACATGAACTCAAACTCACAAATTCCTCCGCCAACGGTGTTAAAGTCAAGTTACATGCTTCCACTGCATGAAAGCAGATGTGTCCAGTACCATGTGCCATACGTTTTATTTCTCATTCTCTTCAAATGGTCTAGGAAAATCGGCAATTTTACATAACTTGGTGATAGGAGACTAGAAAGTAACGGTCGTATTGGATTGGCATTGGTACACGAGTTCAAATGGCAGGTGAAAAGCAGCAGCTTAGTGGTCATACATCTCGTGTAGTAGCTAGCCTTGTTCATTAATTTAACTCCAATTCAAATACTCACTCATGCTAAATCCAACTTTTCAAGAACAACCTTAATCTCTTCAGCGACGAGATCTGGATCATCAATTTGTATAAAGTGGCCACAGCCACTGGCAATCTTCACCCCCTCACATCGATCTTCATCTGTGATACTCACTAGACCGGCATTATATTTGGCCCAATATCTTCACATCGATGATTAGTTAAACATTCCCGCTAAGAGCATTGCAACAGAACACACTTACGGATTCGTAAACCTCATACTTATGCTCTTGGGTGTTCCCATCCTTTCTAAACTCACATCCGCAAACGTAACCGGATCGTGCCCTACAACTGTAAGCCACGGACCCTTTCCATCCGTACCAATAAGTTTAGGGTTATCGGCATAGGGGATTAATTTTGGACCAGGTCGTCGATCCATGGATTCAGAGTTTGGGACGGATAAATCAAATACATTCGTCAATCGTGATCGTGCTTCAATGTATTGGGGAAGTGAGCAGTCTGGTGCGAGTACGGTAGAGGGGCCGAAGGTGGGGGATAAAGGATCCGGGAGGAAATCGCTGTAATTTACATTGGCGATGTTGGAGTCAAGTGCGACAAGCGCGGCGCAAATGAATGGATGGGATTGTACATAGAGACGGGTTATGGGGACCTGGCGGGAACGTTATTTTGAGGTCATCTAATTGAAGAAACAAGACAGAGCTCATTGATTGTCGTAGACAGGCGAGAAAAATGTCACAAAGCACTCACTCCAATTGAGGCAGCCACGAATATTACACTCAGTCTCCCATTTTCGACATCGATTCTCTCAAGCCCAAGTTTCGTACTAGCGATAACTAGAATAATTTCGTGAAGAACATTTGCAGCGTCCATGAAATCATGTCCATAACCATTTCCATCATCTAGAGGATCTCTTGCAGTAGTCAACCCCTGTCCATAACGGTCAAATGTCAAGAGTGGTGGGGGTTTCTTGACATGAGATCGAAGAACTGATATACATGACTCCCACGAGGAAGCTGGAAGACCGAGTCCATTTACAAAGACAATAAGTGTGTGGTGTAGCGGGACATTCGATTCTGAGAGGGTTGAAGAAGATGCATGTGGAAAGAAGGTGTAAGATATCGGAGCATGTGGCGTTGAGGGAATAGTAAGGAAAGATGGACGTGGGTCGATCGTAGAAGTATTAGAGGATTGTTCCATTTCGGGAATTATGGAAGTTGACTAATTCATCTTATCTAAACCCTTTCGACATTCATGAAGTGGATCAATGATATATATATATATATTCAGCCTTATGGTAAGGCGGGGACAAAAACAAGGGGCCGCTCGGGCCGCTGCTTTCAGATTGATCTACTTATCTTATCTCAATTAGTAAGCGAACTGTGTATCCATGTAACCTTCCGAGCACACCAACCAATCTTTGTGCTTCGGTAAGACAATAACTACATATCATCCCGACGCAGATCACGATTTGAGAATGGCATCTCCAGCTGTCCCGCTGAAGCGAAACTATAATCACAAATCACACTCTTCTGAAGATTTGAAAACCAAACGTATCTGCACAGCCGCAAGTATAGCTGCTATAAAGATATCACAACGGGCACCTACAATCGAACATGTTCTCACCATCTCCGAAGATGCTGTCTGGTCGCTCCGCAAATCCGACCTCCGTACCCAATTTCTTACTCTGCAACAATACACTCAATCACTTTCCAATGCAGTGCCAAAAGTCGACTCTGGTGCGAAAATTCATGATGATTCGAATAAGATCCCTTCATCCAAAATCCTCCCGCCACTCCTACGTATGCCAGTCGAAATCCGCCAACTAATCTATCGTCATTTACTGACACCTCCCTCCAATGACCCCCGCCTTGGCCCGCATCCTCGCCAACTCCAATCCCACATTTATCTTTCTCGCGCTTTCGAAGTCGCCGTTCTACATCTCAACCGCCAAATATATCACGAAGCGCTCCCAATATTTTACGGCGACTCCCTTCAAACCATCTCTGTAACCGTCGACTACAATCTCTGGACA